AAGCCGGGGCCCGCCGCCGTCTGCTGCGTCGCGCCGATCTGCGAGCGCGGGGCGAATGCGCGCGGCGAGATGCTGGTTGCGAAGCTGGAGCCCGCCGCGATTTCCTGCTGCAGCGCGCCGAGCCGCGCGCGCGGGGCAAGCGCGCCGCGAGATGCTGGGCGCGAGGCTCGATCGAGCCTACCATCCGCTACGGCGTTCCGGTCAGCGCGCGCGAGAAAGACCGGCGGGGGCAGCGGCAGGCTGCCGCAAGGCTGCTCCGAGAGCTCTGTCGGGAGTGAAGCTGGGGCCCGCAATTTCTTTTAATAATTTGACGCTGGATCTTGGGCAGGGCGCGCAGAGGCAGCGGCGGCCGGCCCTGGCGCTGCTCAGCGAGGCGCTGGGGGCGAAGGTGGGGCCCGCCATCGCCTGCTGCGGCGCCCCGATCAGCGCGCGCGAAAAAACGTGCGCGGCGGGGTGCTGGCTCTGAAGCTGGGGCGCACTTTCATCTGCGACGGCGACCCGATCAGCGCTTGCAAGAAGGACTGGCAGGGGCAATGGCGGCTGGCCCTGGCGTCGCCCCGAGATGTCGCGTGGGGGGGGGGGGGGGGCTGGGGCCCGCCGTCGTCTGCTCTAGCGCCCCCATCGGCGCGCGCGAGCAGGGCGGGCAGGGGCGGCGGCTGCCGGCCCTGGCGCTGCTCGGCGAAGCGCTGGGCGCAGCGGCGCCTCGACCGGCGCGCGCGAAATGGGGCGGTGGCAGCCGGCGACGGCGACGGCGACGAGGCGGGGGGGTTCGTGGGGGCGGGCGTCGGGCGGGTCGACGAAGAGGCGGGCGGGGGGCGGGGGGTTGGACATGGCCGTCGGGGGCGGGGGCGGCGCGATGGAAGCGGAGAAGGTCGCCTCTGACTTGGGGCCCGGGGGGGGGGGTCAGGAACGTTTTCGACCCCGCCTGCGATGGGGGAGGGCGGCGATGGGGGGCGACGAGGAGCTGGCCGTGGAACGGGGTGGGGGGCGTCGAAATGAAAAGGGGGGCCGTCGGCGCGGTCCCCGAGGTGGGCGTCGACGGGGGGTGCGAGGGGGCGGTCGTGGATATTGGCGCCGAACGAACCCCGCGTGGCCCGAGCTCCGCGCGGACGGCGCCAATCGCGACGCAGGGCGCTCCTGCGAGCCCTCCCAAGTCAATCCTGCGCGCGCCGCTCCCGTCGTTGCTGCGCCGCCAATCCCGTCGACGCTGCGCCGCCAATCCTGTCGACCCTGCGCGAGCCGTGCCCGCCGATCTCTGCGCGACGCGGGGCGCGGGGGAAAGCCGCGGGGGGCTGGGGCGGCGGCCCCCGTGGCCGCCGGCGAGCGGCCCCCCCGCCCAATCGCAAGCGGATGAGGGCGCGGCGGATGACGCTCGGAGATCTGGGGGAGATGAGGAAGGGCACATCGATCCATATCGCTCTCTCTAATCTCTGCCTGGCGACAGCGTCCCGGGCCCAGAGGGGAGGGCGAACTTGCCCTGCGCCGCCATGTTGCTCGCGTCCGCTTCGCGCCGCCGCGCCCTGCGTCGACTGGCCGCGACGGGTCTGGGCCCGGTCGAGCACTGCGGCGGCGGGCGAACGCGCGAGGGCGGAGAGAGAGGGCCCCGCGAGCGGGCAGGTCCAACGCCCCAAGTGGGCGGGCCGCGAGGACGACGGCGCGGACGCTCCATCAAGCTCGCCAGCACCTTCCTGGCCCGCGCCGGCCAGTGAGACCATGGGGCCGCCAGCCGAGGCCGACGAAGCAGACGAACTGGGCAGCCGCGCGCGCAGCTCGGACAACATCGCCGCGGGCCCGGCGACTCCAGTGCGCGAGTAAAGGCCCAGGGCCCTCCCGCGCTGGCTGTCCCGGCGGCTGCGTCGAGGACAGCAAACTTGCAGCCGTCGCTGCGGGCGGCGGAGACAGCGGCGCGCGACGGACGCGCGCCTCTCGCCTGCCCCCCGCCGATCATCGCGCGCGCGCCTGCTGCGGAGGCGCCGTCTGGAGACAGACCTCGCCTCGCCCGGCATGCGCAAGGCGACCTCTGGCCGATGGTCGAAGAGGCGCTGGCTGACTTCCCGTGGACTCGTGAACGCTGGGGCCACGCCTGGGGCGAGCTCGCCCGGAAATGGTCCCACGACAGGTCGTGATCGACTTCCCGTGCTCCATGCCAACGCGCTGGCTACAGCGGGCCAGCACTTGCGGCCCGCCAGCCTCGGCAGGCCCGACTGGCCAGCCAGGGGCAGCCGAGGGCTCTGACTCGGCTGGGCGCCCGGCTGGCTTGGCGGGCGCCTCCGAGAAACAGCCGGCGGCCCGCGTTGAGCGGCCAGGTGGTCAGAGCAACGTAGCTTGGAGAACTCGCTGCGCGCAGTCCGGCGGCAGCGCGCTAGGCCCAGGGTGGCGTGGCGTGAGCTTCCAGCGCAACTTCCTCGCAGCGCGTGAGTAAAGCACCGCGGTGCGGTCTCCTGTGTCGGGCGATCAAGACCGGACAAACACCGAGATGTCGCTGTCTTGCCTTTGGAAAGGCCGATGCGTCGCTCTGGTCATGTGCCGATTCGTCGCCTTTTGGGCACTAGTACTCTCCACTTTACCTTCGTCCTTGTTCACCGCCCATGTTTCGGCCCGTCATCTCCACCTGGGGAGGGGGGTCGAAGCCGACAGGACGTTCGAGGGAGACATCGCGCTGCGAACGGCGGCGCGAGCTGTTCTGAGGCCACGCCTTGCCCCCATCCATGCTCTGCGAATAGTCGCTCTGGGCGCGCGCCAGTTTGTCGCCTCCTGATTCTGCCGTGTTTCACCGGTGCTTCACTTGTCCTTGCGTCGCCTCTGGCTGTAGGCCCTGTGGTGTTCCGTTTTCTGTCGGAGGTGGTGTGGCGTCCCAGCCGCCCTCCGGCGGCTCTCCCCTCCGCGGTCGTTCGTCGGTCTCCTCCTCCTCCTCCTCCTCCTCCTCCTCCTCCTCCTCGTGGGTCGCGGGTGTTCGCTCGTTCTTCGCCATCGTCGGTCGGTCGTGGGCTCGGCCGCGTCGTAAGTCCCCCCGCCGTCGTCTCTCCGGGCTGCCCTCTTGCCTCTGCCCCTGCTTGCCCTGTCGCCCCCCCTCCCCTTCCGTCCGGGTCGCCCCCGCCGCGGGGGGGGCCCCGCTTATGCGTGCTCGCCTGGCGGTCTTTGCTGGCGTGGTACGTTTCCTTCCTCCTCGATTCTCCCTCCTCTACGGGACGTCCTTCGTCGATATGGTGTCGAATTTGACGTCGGTGCGTGCATTGCACCTCGCGTCTTTTCCGTTCCGCCCGAGAAGCATCTACTTGTTTATTTGTGTCGGTTTTCTAGTGCAGCCTGTTCTCGGCCAACCTCGACATCTCATTGACCTTGGCCTTTTTTTGGGTGGCCTGGTTATCCACCGAGGGTTTTACGGCATGGCGATGTTTGCTGGTTTCGGCTCCGCATGTGCGTGTTTTCGCGCGAACTGCGCTCCGACACCACCATTTCATGCTGTTTTGGCGTCGGGCCCGCTGTTGTGATGCTGCCGCGGCCAGAAGGTCTAGCACCCCGCCGCTGCTAGATCTTGTGTCGCCGGCTCGCAAGGAATAACCTACTTTCCGTGTCGCCAGCTATTGCTCTCAGCGTTACCCCGCCACTCAGTTGGTCTGGCAACTTTGCAATTCATTCTCGCCTCGTTGGCTGATTAGCACTGGACTGCTGCTCGCGCTTCACCTCCTGGCGTCGAGCCACGTTCCGCGGGATGATTGACCGCTGCATGTTGGCTTCCCAATGCCGCCCTTTTTCTTCCCTCCACCACCACCAATCTGCATGGCCGTGGCTGGATTATTTCATCACGGCGCGTTCGGCTCGGTTCGTTCGCGATTGGCGCCTCCACTTGCCGAGCGCGCCTGAAGTTCCTCTGCGCCGCCGACTAAAGAAAGTGTGTGTGTGTGTGCGTGTGTGTGTGTGTGTGTGTGTGTGTGTGTGTATGTGTGTGGCGTTCCCTGGAAGTGTCAAACAATGCCAGGCAACGCCAGCCAAGTGATGTCAAGCGGTGCAAAGCAACACCAAACAATACTTGACAGTACCAAGCAATGCCTTCTTTGCTTCGGTACTCACTCATGAATATTGGGCCGCGCCGCATTTTCTGGTTTCCTCTTCCCCCCTGGCAGTGCTGTGAACGGTATCGAGGACAGTGTCCTGGCCAAATGCCCTGCGTATTCGGCCTTTCCTTCTCAAAGAACTGGTCCTGTTTTTAAAGCTCTGACTGACTGTGGCTGATTGGTGGGTAGTCCTGTGAGGATGCAGTGTGTATATAGATGTACAGATTGCCGAACGAGCAAATCCAAACGATAAGTGTGCCTCAGCCACTGACGTAAGCTTATGGGATGGAAGCAAAACATCCGAAGCGAATACGTGCACTAGAACTGCTGATGTACAAATTTAAGACCGCTCCCGCCAGAAAACCGGATACTACAACAGAGTCCGCAAGCGTTCCCGATGGCGATAGCAGGTGTGTCCAAAACGAGCTCTGGATTTGTGTGTGCAAACACGAACATGGCTCCCCGCTGTGCGGCCTGAGCGCGCTACCCGTCAAGCCAATACCTGGCATCGCGTCTTCTCCTAAATCAACCGCCCTCCTTTCACCGCCGCCTTCCTCACGTCCCCCTCTCCCTCCGCGCACCTCCTTCCCTCACACTCCCTTCCCTTGCGTCTCCCATCGTCCCCCCCCTTCCGCGTCGACCACCCTCCCTTTCCCACGTCCCCTTGCCCCATTCCTCCTCCGCCTCCCCCTTTTCGGGAGCGGCCAAGAGGGGGGGGCCCAAGACGGGGGGGTGCAAATCATGACCAGCGGCATGTGCGCGGCCAAGCGGGGGGGCCAGGGACGCAATGACATGAGAAGAGTCGCCATGAAATCTGGGGAAATATCATGGCCCACGCCATGATATCCCCCCCCTAGTCATCATCCCCCTCTTTTCCGCCCCCGACCTTCTCCTGGGTCTAACATCATGACCCCAGGCCCCGACGAGCACCCCCGAGGCCCGGACGCCGCCGGGCCCCGTGACGCGCACCGCGCGCTGCTTGCCGTCGTGGTCCACCTGGCATGTGGGGACGGAAAAGGGATGAGGTGGGAGAGCAACAAGGGCTCCCAGCTTCGCGCGAAGGACGAGGAGGAGGGGGAGAAGGAAAGAGGACCGAGGGGGAGGAGGAGGAGAAGGAACGAAGGAGGAGGAGGAGGAGGGGGAGAAGGGGATGAGGTGGGAGAGCAAGAAACAGGGGGATGTTCGACGAAAAATGAAACATACCCACAAAAATGCCCCCAAAAAGGTAAGAAAACATACCAAAAACAGTCCCCAGGCTATTTTTGGATTATTTTAAGACTATTTTTCACTTTTCGTCGAGAATCCCCCAGTGGGGAGAGCAACAAGGGCTCCCAGCTTCGCGTTTCGCGCTGCGCGAAGCGCGAATAACTTCGCGCTCTCGCGCCGCCCCCCCAAAGGGAGAAAGGAGGACGAGGAGGAGGGGGAGAAGGAACGAGGACCGCGAAACGCCAATAACTTCGCGCCCTCGTGGGAGCCCTTGGAGCAAGGGCGAGGGCGGGGTCGGAGATGAGAGAGGGGAGGAGCGAATGTCCTTTATATCAAGAAGCATATGGGGAGTGGCCTCCGCAATGCAGTCAGACAGCCCGCACCTTCGCCACGCGCAGCGACAGTCTCGCCGCGGGCACCGACGGGCGTGCCCCCGCGATGCAAATCTCATGTGGCTCTACGCGTGCATTGCACGGGAGGCGGAGGAGAGGCCCGCCAGATGCTGCAACACGTCGAGAGGCCAGCTGAAGACGACCCGAGGAGACCCCAGGCCCCAGTGAAGCCCCGAACGGGCGCCAGTGAGGGGCTCCAGCGAGGCCCGACGAGCCCAACACAATATGAAGACCATGGGGCTCACACGTATGCGCACGCCGTTCGGCACTTGGTGTGCAGCTCGGCCATGCGAGCCGCACGCAGGGCCTCTCGTGCAAGAGCTGGACAACGCGCCCGATACTCGACACGCTGGGAGCCGAGGGCTAATCTTGCCGTCGCTCGGACGTCCATTTCCCGTGCATTTTTCGGCTTCGTGCGTGTTTTTTTTTGCTCGATGGTCCAGGATCGTCCTCAATGGTTCTCGCCAAGACAAAATGCACACGTCCGAGCGATGCCAGGTAATCAATACCTCTCGACAGCCATGGGTGCGCCGGGGGGGAAAAAACAACGGTGCGCCCGACGGCCACAAAGGCGGCGGCTGGCAGCAACGGGACTGGGGCCGTTGGCGACCGCCATCACCGGAGCTGTTGCCAAGATCTGCGTTGGGCGAGGTCGCATATCTGTTACCTCTTCGGTGGCCCGACGAAGAATGCCCATAGACGGGCTGAAAGACTACCGCACAGAAGCCGTGCGGGTCATCTACGCGCGCGGGCGAGGTCCTTGTGGTTCTGCCAACCTTCACAGAGAGGAGCAAAGATGAGGTCTTCGAGCGCTGGGATCGGAACATGTTTCTCATCTCGTATTGAAGCGTCGGGACGAGAACGTTACCACATTTAACCCTTTCCGCCTCAATGTCGAACTCCACATCCTCGCCATCCTCCAAGGACTTGAAGCCGCCACCGGATTCAATGCCGGTGTAGTGGATAAAAGCCGCTCGCACCCTGAGGTGCGGCATGCGTGTGGCATGGTGCCCAACGCAGTCGCGCCGCCTCCCCATTCAACGACCACACCCTGCTAGCCTTAAGTCGGGCCTGTCCCCCTACAGGGGGATTTTCGACGAAACAATAGAACATCCTCAAAAAATGTTCAAACATGGTCAAGACATGCTCAAAAAATAGTCCCCAGACTATTTCTTAACTATTTTTGAATATTCCCCCTGTAGAGGGACAGGCCCGACTTAATGCTAGCCTGCGGAGCCTGGGAGGCACGGGCTCGGGAGCGGGGCCGTGGCCTTGGGAGCGCGAACCCCAGGAAACTTACGAGGGATCGTCGCCCTGGGAGCGAAAGTCGGCATCATTTTCGGAGGATCGTTGCGCTGGGAGCGTGAACCCAGTGGAATGTACACCACGCGAAATGGTTAAGAAATCATGGGTTAAGAAATTCATGGTCTCAGAACTTGAATAAAAACCGCACAATTCTATCAAAATCTTAGGATTTACATTGAAACGTTAAGAATAATCGAGACTCTGGCCGAAAACTTAAGTTTTCTTAAGCATCGCCTAAGGTGTACAGGGGATCGTGGCCGTGGGAGCGCGGAGGCAGCGCAACTCACGAGGGATCGCGGCCCTGGGAGCGCGGGCGCAGCGCGATTTACGAGCGATCGCGGCCACGGGAGCGCGGCCCCGCCGTCATACGTTCGTTTCTGGGTCCGTCGCCCTCTCTGGGCCCGCGGGGTTTGGGGGAGCGAGGGTCTGGGGGAGCGGGGGGAAGTTGGGGGTCTGTCCTCCACCCCCTCCGCTCCTGCCTATCTTCTGCGTGCATGCAGGGTATCTTCGCTGAGTTGGATGCGCGTACCTTGATCGGACCTTCGGCGTACCTTCAACAAAGTTTCTGATTCAAAGCAATACAGAAGCCGCGTACCTTAAGCGCACCTTCAAATAATGCGTCCGGCGCACCATACCTCCGGTAGACCTGCGTAGCTTTCCAGGGGCCGAGCCAATCCAGCGTGATTTTACAAGGGCTCGTGGCACTGGGAGCGCGGTCGCTGCGTAATTTACAAGGGATCGTGGCCTTGGGGGAGCTGACGCAGCATCACTTGCTCCAGATTTCGTAATAAAGGGAGGGGGGTCTCATTTCGGGGGGGGGGTCTCTTCCAGGCTATCTTGGAGGGCCTGGGGGGTCTGGGGACGATGTTTTGGAGGGTTCTCCCACGGGGGAGGTCTGAAATGGCTTGTCTTGGAGGGTCCAGACCCCCTCCCTTTTATTACGAAATCTGGAGTACTTGTGATCATGGCACTGAGAGTGCGGACGCAGCGTAACTTACGAGGGATCGCGTGGCCCTTGACATCTCGACTAATAACGGGGTGCGGAGATTCTATGAAACTCCAGGTGATCCGCGGCGCGTCACTTGGCGCGTATCTGGCGCGCCCAGTGGCAGTGTCCTTGGTCCCTTAGCACGTCCCCTGGCGCGTCGCCTAGCGAATTCCCTGACACGTTCCGTGGCGCGTCCCGTGGAACGTTAGGGGAACAAAAAGTGACATAAACATAAAAACTCGGAGGTCCGCGCGGATTTCTCGGATCGGCGCTGGACCCCCCTCCCTGGCGCGCGGAGCGCGCCAAGGGCGGCGCCCGAGTCGCCGCCGGGGGGCCCCAGCGCCGATCCGAGAAATCCGCGCGGACCTCCGAGTTTTTATGCTTATGCCACTTGTTGTTCCCCTAAGCGTTTCCCTGGCACGTCGCGTCGCGCGGCGCGTCCCTTGGCTCGGGCTGGGCGAAAGGGGGGGTAGCAAAAGGGGGGTTTGAGAATCAACTCACGTAACTCATCTTCCAGGCGCCTCCCAGGCGCCGGAGGCGGCCATGTATCGAGGAGTGGGCCCATCGATGGGGCCGAAACCAGCTACATGCAGCAAATTTCGTAACCTAAAACAGGGCTAGGATCGGGATAAATCGCTCCAGAGCGTTCTGGAGCGCTCTCAGAGCGTTCCGGAACGCTCTGGAGCGGCCGCGGCGCCCAATACATCCTCCAAACCCGCCGATTCTCAGAGATTTTGAATTATCCCGATCCGATTTTGTCCCGATCTTCGCGTCGTTTTATAACTCCCCCCTTTCCCTGTCCCCCCCTTTCGTCCAGCCCGATTGGCACGTCCTCCTGGCACGTCCCGTGGTGCGTCCCCACTGCACGGCCCCCCCCCCCCACGGCCCCCCGGCCACGCCCCCTGGCGCGTCCCCTGGGACGCTCGGCGGCGCGTCCCCGTGGCGTGCCGGCACGTCCCTTGGCGCGTCCCCTGGCACGCCACTCTGAAGTGGGCCCCGGAAATGGCAAGGCCGTTTTCTCACCGTTCCCCAAAAAATGCCCCTTGAAAATGGAAACGGCAAAAGAACTGCGACCGGAAACGGCAACAAAAACTGCTCTCCAGGATTGGAACCGGAGCGGGCACCCGTAAAAGAACGGCGACGGAGCCCGCAAAAAAACGGCGTCGGAACCGGTTCCGTTTTGCCGTTTTTTTGCCGGTTCCGACGCCGTTTTTTTGCGGGCTCCGTCGCCGTTCTTTTACGGGTGCCCGCTCCGGTTCCAATCCTGGAGAGCCGTTTTTGTTGCCGTTTCCGGTCGCCGTTTTTTTGCCGTTTCCATTTTCAAGGGGCACTTTTTCGGAAACGGTGAGAAAACGGCCCTGCCGTTTCCGGGGCCCACAAAGATGCCACTGTGCGGCACGGCATAGCGCAACGCCGCACAACACAACTCTTGGCACAATATCATCACCATCAATCTCTTCAACATTGCCACTGCCCATCACCCAATTGAAGTCCTTGGGAACGTTTCCATGCCTCGCAATTCAAAAATTCTTTCCGGGTTCGTGGGTCGATCATGTTCCCGGAAAGGGCTCCGTCCAGGGTTCTCTTTTAGTGTAATTGTGCCTGGTGCCATGCTGGGGGTGGGCTGGCGGTCTTCCCCATGATAAATAAAAAGGAAACGATGGGCCGGCGGATCTTGTCTGAGGATGTCTCGAGCGAAACGCTGTTTATTTGTTTCACTTCCGATCGGTAAAACACAAAAGGTAAAGTACACCTTTTCGTTGTTTGCAGACGTCTCGAGCGAAACGCTTGTTTTGCAGAACGTGTTGAGGATGTCTCGAGCGAAACGCTAGTTAAACCCTATATGTTGCTCCTCTCCTGGGGGCCAGAATTCAGAGGACGCCTCAGGCGAAATGCTTGTTTTCACGTGCCCAGGTCGCCCAGGGGGGATCGAACATGGTTGTCCCAAAATGAAGCCATGTTCTTTTTTGCACGTGCCCAGGCCACCCAGGGGGTATCTGAGGTGGTGGCCCCGCGCTTGAGCCATGTGTTTTTACGTGCCCAGGCCACCCACGAGGGTATCCAGCATGGTGGCCCCGAGCTGGGACCACATGTTCTCACATGTCCGGGCCACCCAGGAGGGGTACCTTACGTGGCTGCCCCGAGCTGGAACCACGTGCTTTTTGTTACGCATGCGGGCCATCCACGGGGGGGAATCCAACATGATGTGCTCGCCCGGGCGCCCCCAGCGTGGGGGCAGAAAGGCCAGACCCAATCCATAAACCGGCACCGGATATGCAATAACTTGACACAGTTTCTTCGGCCTGCGATTTTACCGATTTCACCATGGGCCTCCACCCTTGTGATTTTACAGATTTCACCCTTGTGATTTCACCGATTTCACCGATTTAACATGGTGGTCCCGAGCTGGACCCACGTGTTCTCACCCAGAGGGGCCTCCTGGGGGCCCCTCGGGGCCTAGGGCTTGAAATGTCTGTTCGCGCCCCCCATCTGGGCCCCGTCTTCGGGGCCTCAAGATGGCCCCCAGACGGCCCAAGAAAGGCCAAGACGCCACAGGAAGCATCCAAGAGGCTTCCCAAGAGAGCCCCAAGAGGCCAGGTTTTGGCTTTCTCGCCCTCTCGGCTTCCCAACGCTCCCAGACGGCCCCAGAAGCCCCCAAACTCGCCCCAAGCCGGCCCAACAGGCCTCCAAGAGGGCCCCCAAGCGGCCCAAGAGGGTCTAAAGACGGCCCCAAAGGGCCCCACCGGAGCCCAGGGGAACCGCGGGACACCCCAGGAGATTTCGGAAACTAGGGTCCGAGTCCTTTCAAAACTTGTCAGGACAGAGGACCGATGCTCCAGGGATTAAACAAAAGGAGCTGAAGACACGCCAACTCCGTGCCCAGAGGCACGGTGACAGATCTTTTGTTGAATCGGTAATGCTCGATTCAAGATGTGATGTTATGAATACACATATATATATATACGCATTATGTTACGGCATATGATGTTATGCAATTTTCTATCATTTGGTATTAGACAGTGTCCAGCTATGTGTGTTACGTTCAACCCTTTTCCCACAACCCATGGATCAGCAGCATCATGTTGTATGATTCAATGGATTGCGGTCGTGGTGTGCTATGTTATGCCAGTTTGTGTGTGTGCGTGGACGCTGTCTGTCCTTTCCCATTCTGAACAGAATCGCTAATGGTACTACGATAGCGCGTTCTCGTGTACACCCTCACTGATTGTTTTCAGAAAGTGACCTTGCTTTATTATGCAGGTATCGCCTCACCTTTCTCTTATGTGGTACTCGTTCAGGCAGCATCCGATGGCTCTGCAATAAAATATATGTATGTTGAATTATGGTTGTGCTGCTGTTTGCTGCTTTATGGTTAAGGCGAACGAGGGAATCCAACCGCGAACCAGGCAGTTCGGTCCCAAACGGAGGAATTTCCGTGGTCGAACGGAGATTCTTTTGTGGGCGAGCGGGGGGACTCTCCAGGGGCTTCCGGGACACTTGCCCGGTCGAACGGGGATGCTGTTCAGTTCAACGAGAAAGCTGTCTTGGTCGACGGAGGATTGGTTCTTGGTGCGTGCAATCACGTGTGCTGCTGGATGCAGGCTGCCCCAGACATGGAAAACGCTGGAAGGCACGGCGGGTGCATTCGGCTTTAATTTTCGAACTTAGGGCTGGTTCAT